TGTTACCATTGAAGGGAACCTCTGTGTCCAGATATGCTGTTGGAGGGGAAGGCCTTTGTGTTCATGGGGCTGAAGGGTGAAGACAGCATGTTTATGAGGGGAAGAAGGGGGAGGAGCAGGTGGCCGGAAGATCCCAGACTGAGAAGAGAAAACTGTGGCCTGAGCAGGACTCTGGCTGACAAGGCCTTAAGGCAGAAGGGCAGAAGGTTCCGCAAGGCTCGGCCCCCCAGAATACTCCACTTTCGGGGAAGAAAGGTGTATGTGAGTGTGTGTGGGTAGGGAGGGGAGTTAGTTACCCTGGCCGCCTTTTTCACCTCAACTAGGCAGCAAGCCCAGGTCAAGAAGCTGAAGGAGGCAGGATGGTGGAGAGTAGAGTGGAGGAGTGTTGGGCAGGAGCAAATTGAGGTTGGGTCTTAGGGTCAATCTGTTCCTTCCTACTGTCCAGGTTTGGGGTAGGGTTTCCAAGCCTAGGGAATCCCGCTGGTTCAATTGTGTGAACCAGTGGCAGCTGATAGGGTGGGAGGGCTCTCCTTCCCTCTGGATGGGATCCCATGGAACTGTGTGGTTGGGGAGGGAGCCTGAGCTAGGAGCTCCCGCCAGCGTGGTTGTCCCCCGGAGTTCTGGGATAGTTTTTATCGGATCTGGGAGGGTTGAGGGGTGGGTCAAGTCTTTGGAGGATGTAGCTCCGGGGATGGCCCGCGTGGAGAAGGCGGCCCTGAAGCCCCGCTGAGGGAGGCAGGAGGCTGGAGCAAAGGGCAGAGCAGGATGGCTGCCTGAGGAGAAGGCATTTCCTCGTGGTCGTTCTGCCTGGAATCACCTAGGTCCTTTGATGGCTGCGGCCTGAACCCGCCCTTGAGGCCTTGGGAAAGGGAATAGTGGGGGAGGAAGGGAGGGGACCACCGTTTGGGAGGAGTTCTAGGCATGCCCAGCCTGGATAACCTGGAGAGCTCTGTGATTGACGGAACGCTGGGTGGGGGCGTCACCCGGGTTGCAGCTGGTTGTGGCGGTGGCGGTGGCGTGGGCAGGGTATGAGGGGAGGAGATCCAGGAGACGCTGAACATGGGACACACAGAAGCTTCTGTCTTTCCTTCAGGCTTGCAGGACGGTAGGCAGGACCGGTGGCTGGGCCCTCCGGCCTTCCTTCCAGTCCCCTTCCTCTGGGAGGGAAAGGTTAGAAGTCAGGGGCGGGTCGAATTCCAGTCTGAGTAGCAGGGGCTGATGCGTTTTCGTGGCGTGTCTCTAGTGTTATTACCCCTCCTACATGGGGAGATGGATGGAGGCCCAGGGAGGGACAGGAAAGCCCCCCCACCCCACACGGTGACCCGAGGTCAAGGGTAGGACCAGGAGCAGCAGCCAGGGCCCAGGGGTCTCCTGGTCCCTTTTCCAATCCCCAGGCATTCCCGGAGTGTGGGGAGGGCGTGGGAATCTGGTGGGAGATGGTACCGATTTGAAGCCTCCAGACTGGGATCCTTGGGCCCAGTCGTTGAGAGGGCAGTGGAGGGTGGGCGTTCGGTGGGAAAGGAGGGTAGAAGTGGCACAACCTCCCCTTTTCTCTCCTGCTTCCCTAAATTTCAGATCCAAGTCCATGAATCACTGGGGCCCTTTAGCAGGTGAGCTCAGCGCCGGCTCCGTGGAGAGTTGAGTGAAGAGACCCCACCCCCACCCCGACAAGAGCAGTCGCCTAGCTGGTCTCTAGCCTATCCCCTCCCCACCCCACCTCGCGTGGTCACAGCCTACAGTGGGAGCGGGCGACGAGGAGGCGCTGGGCCTGGGAAGCAACACAGGTGCTGTCCAACCATCTGGGTGGATCCAGGTGGGAGAGCGGTCAGGCTCAGCTCTCCCCTCCCCTCCCCCCAGCTGGACTAGGGCTCTTATGCTTGTTATGTGAGCAATGGGCTAATTTTATCTGACTAGAGCTCAGCAGGGAACCAACGTTGACAATCATGTAGCTCTTCCGGGGCTGCTCTGGCCCCTGGGAGGCTGGTGGCTTGGGAGTGTGGGGAGAGGGTTGCTGTGGCCTCTGTCCAGATGGGTGTGTGATTGCCCCTGTCCTCTTCCAGAGAGGACCGAGTTTTGGCACCTAAGTCGATACACTTGGGCCCAGAGCAGGAGAAGATATCTGAAAAAGATAGTACAAGCTCCTCCTTGTGTTCTTCTGTTTGCTTTCTCCACCTCTATCCCTTTCATTTCTGAAGTTCCTGAGTTGTAGCAGAGTTCATGACACATAGCAAATCCCTGGAAAATATTGCTGAAATGACTTGAAAAGCAGGCATGGAGCTCTGCTCCTGGTGACCACTAGAGGGAGCTGAAAGGAAGGAATCAAACGGCCTTCCGAAACAAAGTCTCCTCTACTCCTACAAGGAATTGGCTTTCTCATCTTTTTCCTTGCACGTCTGCTGTGTCCTCTACAGTTCAGCTTATTAGAATTTAAGAACCTGCCTCAAAGGCTCTGGTTCCAACCAGCACCTGCCCTATCTAGACACCAGCTGTCAAATACTGGGGTTTCTTGGGGCACCTGTAATGCCCTGTCTGATGCTGTGGAGAAGTGGCAGGGAGCTGCTGGCTGCCTTTTCAGACATGAAAAGGCTCTGTAGGAGAGCATGTGGTCTTACAAATTATAGGATTTAACAGCTATGAAATCTAATGATCCTGGTGATCAAAGACAGACTGGAGCGTTAAAGCTGTTGGAGGAGGTACTGAGGAGGCAGCAGACCTTGGGTGGGAGAGCCTGGGGCCAGGCAGTGTTGTAATTAGCCCAGTAGGAGGAGATGAGGAGGCTGGGTGTCTGGCACTGAATGGAGGCAGAAATGACAATAGCCAAAAGCTGGGTAGTAAACCACTCTCTCCCAAAGGAAACCAACCCCCTCCCTTTACCCCCTCCCTACCCAATGTATGACCATATGGAGATGGACTTCATTTGTACCTCTTGGGTTGCTGGGTTGGGAGGGCAGTAGGTGAGACCAGCTCTCCAAGCCCAAGACTGCATGAAGGTCTGGAGTGCTTGGAAAGAGAAAATACCAAAAGTATGTGTTGGTTGAGGGGTGGGGGTAATGGTGAAGAGATAAGGTATGTTAAAAGTCAGACTTTGCTCAGTTTTCATTTTTGCTCAAGGTTAGTACTGCTGACACCCTGTTGGAAATGGGCTGACTACATAGTTGTTGCATGAACCAAGTAGGCAAGTCAATTTCCCCTCCTTGGGTCGGTTTCTTCATCTGTAAAATGAAGGGTTTGGAATGAACTGGAAGTCAATTACCTGAGTTCAAGTCTCAGCCTGCTCTTTCACTGATAAACTATGTGAACCTGTGGTAGTCCCTTCCTCTCTCTGGGCTTCAGTTTCCCACTTAAATTCAATGCAGAGGATGGATAAGGGGATCTCTAAGGTTACTCCCAGCTTTGTCATTCTTATATGTCTCTCTTTTGCATCACCCTCAATTCTAGACTCTGTCATTGCCTGGCTGTGTGACCCAACTACACCAGTCCTTTCAGGATCCTCACCAATAGCGTAAAGGAGAGAAAAGGGGACTTGGATTGGATTATTGGTATTTGCCAATTTTCAACATGGCATGTTTGTAACAAGGTGGTTGTCTTTTGGGGGACTCCACTCTGACTCAACCAGTAACCACGTTCCCATTTTGTGAAGTAACTACTTTTCCACTTCAGAGCTCCCTAAAAAAGCCCAATCCCGACCAGCCCACCCAACTCCAATGCCCTATATAGCTTCTTTTCCAATTTCTGCTCTCACAGAGACCATAGACCCTGGCAAAATTTTGATTTGAAGTGAGATTTCAGTCCTTATGCCAAACTTCCTGCTGTTGACCAGGTTAAGATTATTTCACCCTTGTAAGCAATGTATATACAAAAACTAGATTTTTAGATCAGTTTATTTTGTTCCAAACCCCTTGAGGATTTAAATGTCCCAGATCTTGAGCTCCCAAATTTTGTTCATTCTCCTAGATTTCATTGCGGCACATAAAAGGCTGCATCCTATCCTAAATATTAATACTGTGCTGCTTTTGCCAACCAGCATTCTTCAAAAGCACACAAGCCCACATGTGCACAAGCACATGTGTGGAAGAAATAAAGTGACACCCCCACATTATTTGACATCTGAATAGGCAGATTCAGGACCTGTGAGTGTCTTTCCTTCATCTGGAGAGAAGCGGGTGGCAGCCTGATTCTTAAGAGCTATCTGCACCATTAACAACAAAGGAGGCCCAGAAGAACTACTCTCTGGTGACATAGAGGAGGTGAAGCAGGGAGAAATGGAAGCAGCAGCTTTGCTGCTCTAGCATATTCAATGGTCTTTCCTGGAGTTACAGGATTTCTGGGGCCCAGCCTCTCCTGCTCCACTGTTGTTTGGGCTGACAGGATAGTAACTGGGCCCCCTTCTCATCCAAAGAGCCAAGAACCAGTGAGTTTTCCTTTGAGGAGTTGATAAGAGCTGGACTGAGACCTATGTAGGGGGCTCAGGACTTCGGCCTTGAATGAAACCATCAGGGCCCATCCATGCCCCAGCTGCCTGTTTGTGACAGAAAAAAAAAAAATGCGTGTGAACCATTGTCCTCTTTGGAGCCCCTTAGGAGCAACCTCATCCTCCTGGCCCCAAGATGGCCCTGGCTTGGGGTGGCAAGTCACTGTTGGCTCCTAATGATAGCCAAGGATGTCTGGCAAAAAGATGTTAAAATGTTGGGGTGACAGGAACACAGTACACAAAGGGTCAGAGAAGGGAGAAAAAGACACAAAGAGTCAAAGTGAAGAGAGAGGCTGAGCTTCTAATGAGCTGAGCTGTGCATATTGGATACAGCTTAGCAGTGCCCGCCACCCCTAGCCTGGGGCACTGGGAATGCTCTTCAGCAAAGACTGTTGCCCAGAGCGTAAGCACAGAGAAGGAGCTGGCACCTACTTCAGAGGAATGAAGGTGGCCTAGAGTCTACCTCTCCTGGCACCTTTCATGCCCACTGGAGATGTGGCAACCTCCTAGGCAGAGTGGCCCAGGGTGTTCAGTATTGGGGACACACTGAAGGTAAAGGCTAGGATGGCTTCCCTTTCCTAAAACAAATTGTCCAACTCTATGTGCAGCTGCTGCCTGTACTTTTTTGGGATCAAGGCTGGGAATGGGATTTTTCCTGAAGCAGTCCCTTCCTTGGCCTGACTCAGGTGGAAATATTGACATGTCATGAGTAATGAGATGGAGTAATTCGTCCTTCACTATGTCAATAACTACTGTCCCTCCCCTCCTCCATTCCATCTCCCTGTTATCAGTCCTCCTCTGCTTACTGAGATGAAAGGAGTTTCTTCACATTTTGACCCATGGATACAAGGGTAAGGAGCTGTGAGGGCCTCCAGGTTAATGCATTGGCCTGGGAAGTCTATGAAATTGGTGAGTAAAACGCTATGCTGTTTAAGGTCCCTTCCCAATATGGTACTTTACTTTTCCAGTCTATTCTATCAGCTTGAGCCAAAAAGTGAGATGTGGCTCAGCCTGAGATGATGGGATTGATGCTAGTGGCAGGGGTGGGCTGGGCCAAGGTGAGGCTGATTGGTTTAAGCTCTGGGTCCCTCCTTTCTCCAAACACCCATGTGTCTATGATAGTCATAAAAAGAAATGGGGAAGAGAAGAGAGAGGAGGCAGTAGAGGAAAAAAGGAAGAAAAGAAAAAGGAAACAGACTATTAACCAGCTTTATGATGGGGAGACTTCTTGTACACTTGTAAAATGATGGCACCCACAGATCTTAGGAAGCCACAGCCTTCAGAGACTCTGAGGCTCCTTGTTTCATTTTGCTTCCCCCAATATCTCCCTCCCTCTTGTCAACAGCTCCCAAGGACAGATGGTAATAAACTCCTCAGAACACAGAGGTCTGGGTCTCCCCACTAGGCTCCTAGGGACACAGTAGCACCTTTAGAAATTGCTTTTAGTAGGTGACTAACAAGCCGAAGCCCGGAGGTCCCATCCCCTTCATCCCCCAGGGGTTAGAAAATATATGGAGAAGTTCCAAAGGCCAGGGGATGATCCCAAGCTTCCCCATATCCTGGGAGGAGAAGGGCCTTGGCAAGTTTAAAGGCATTCATGGGGGAAGTTTGGTTAGTGAGTTTGGAACACCTGGAGTTTTGGCTCCAAGGGGATGGTCAGGTGACTAAAATGCTATGTGCACAGGTTTGGGAACAGGTGTGCTGGTGGCAAAAATGTAAATGCTGAGCAGAATGGAGTGAAGGAGAAGGGCTGGGGAGAAGCACACAATGGCAAGAAAGAGGCATTAGATGGGTTCCTCAGGGGCAGGAGAGCCTGGCAGCAGCTCCCCATTAGGGTCCGGGTCAGGAGCCAACATCTTATCCTTGCTGGAATCCCTTTGCTCTTTCTTGAACATCCTTTGATGCATCAGAGGGACGAAGAAGAGGATTACCGCCCCAATGATGGGGGGCACACCAGCAAAGTAGAAGGCCACATGGTAGTCCCCAAAACAGTTGTGGAGAAGGCCTGCAACAGTCAAGAGAGACAAGTCAAGCTCAACTTTGCCTTACTGCCCAAAAGTGCTCTCTGCCTCTTGTAGGGGCCATTACAGTGCCTCTCCAGAGAACTTTGACCTGCACTGTCTTGACTCAGGAGCCTTCTCAATTCAAACACTCCTAGAAGTAAGAAATAAAACCTCTATTAAAAGGGCAGGTGGCCCCTCCCTGAAGTACTAGGGCTGCAGGCTCTTGAGGTTAATACTCACTATGAAAGAAGATAATGAAACTTCTCTTAAATTTTCTCCATTTGTGACTTCCATAAAGCTACAGCTAACTTCCAGTCACTCCTAGGTGTGGAGTTAGGATAAAATCTATCTTAAAAGGACTCCACAGAAGATGGCTGGTATGGATTAAATTTCGTCCCCCCAAAATATGTTAAAATTCTAACCCCTGTACCTGTAAATATGACCTTGTTCAGAAATAGCAGTTTTCTTTTGTTATGTTAATGGGGTCATACCAGAGTAGGGTGGGTCCTAAACTTAATCACTTCTGAGTTATAAAAAGAGCAGAATAGATACAGAGACATACACACACAGGGGGAAGACAGACACCAAGAAATGCCAAGAAGAATCAAGGAATGCCTAGGATTGATGTCATCACCAGAAACTAGGAGAGGGATCCAGAGAAGGAATCAACACAGCAAAGACCCTGATTTGGACTTCTAGCCTCCAGAACTGTAAGAAAATAAGCTTCTGTTCTTTAAAGCACCCACTTGTGGTATTTTTGTTATGGTAACTAAGACAATGACTAAGTCTTGTCTTAGCTCATAGTGATATACTTTTCTCCCTCACCTTAACTTGCCCTAGAGTGTTCTTGTGTAACAATTCAGCTGAATTCACATTTGCTTTAAGGGAGGCTGTATGTGTATGCTTCCTTCCAACTACAGAAACATTTGGTCCCCTGGGTTCCTCTAAGCTACCAATACCATGGATGTGTTTGTCATGAGACACAGGCCTCCCCTGCTCACCTCCAGGAGCTAAGGTGTGGCACCTCAGAAGGAGGATGAGCCCAGAGACACTGGTCAGGAAAGGCAAGAAGGCCCTTGGGCTGCTCAGGAAGTAAGCAAAAGGGAAAAAGATGTGGATTCTGTGGCACTGTTGGGTTCAGGGACTAGGTAGAAGCTCTTCTCCCCAAGTGGGCAGTGTGGCTGTTGCCCAAGAGGCCTGAGGGAAAGCTCTTGCCACTGTCATACAGCATAACCAGTGCCTCTACAAGACCTTGCACAATATTTATTGAGTTAGCCCAGTTGACCAGCCTAGGAGAGGCTAGCCCATGAATCAATGTTTGCAATAAATCATATAGAAAAGAAATGAAGTTCCATTTTCATTGGTTTTTCCTTGTTTCCTGTGTTCCCCTGGGGTACCAACAATGCCTTTGTAGCAGAGTGGAGGCAGAAACTGGGAGTTCTGAAAGATGCCAAGCCACCACTTTGCCTCTCACTTAATGGAGGTGAGAATCACTGACCCAGTCCTAGGGTCTGACCTTAATCAATCTCATCCACAAACTCAGTTCAGAAGCCAGTAGAAGAGGAGAGTGTCTCTAAATCTTAATAAAACCAGGGCCTACTTTCTCTTCTCTTCCCACCCTTGCAAATAATCACTTACCTGTGGAGAAAGACAGAGGATACTGGATCAGTAGAATGGTCAAGAAAGCAAAACCCATTCCTTTCACTTACCCTCCTTGCAGCAGCTATGTTGTCTACTGTAAAACCCCATTGAAACAGATCTACAACCATGGAAAACTCATTCCCTAAAATGCATATGTGCATATATATCGTGTTTAACCTCTTCCACCTGTAGTGGTAAGGCGTTTCATGCACTCTGATAAGGCTGCTTAAACAGAGAATAAGAGAGAAAGAGGCTTCAGGCAGAGGTGCTCAGAACTAAAGCCCAAGGAAGAAAGGACTCCCCCACGAATGCCCTCCTTAAAATATCAGCCTCACCTGCAATGGGGGGCCCAGCAATCATCGGCAGGGCCATCATACCCAGGAGGTAGCCAATGGCCTGTGAGGCCTGCATTGGGCCCACCAGCTCAAAGGCAATGGGGGCCATGATGGTGATGAAGAAGCCATCGCATAGGCCCAGGAAGAGGCAGACAACGATGAGGCCCCCGAAGCCCCGGCACAGAGGAATCATCATGGACATCAGGCCCAGGAGCAGGAAGGAGATGACCTGGAGAAGCAAGGGCCTGAGGTCATGCTGTGCTTGTCAGCCAGGACCACATAGCAAATCACATCTCATTTCTCAGGGCCTCATTTCTACCATCTATAAAATGGGGCAGGAGGGTGTCAACAGGGAGAGCAACTGAACTAATTGGTGACTCAGGCCCCTTCTAAGTTTTGCCCTGATGGATTCAAAATCTTTAAGAGAGTCCCTAGTCCCTATTTAACTGTGTTGATGTCAGGATGAAAAAAGGGGGGTGGGTTGGGGTGTGGGCCTTGGCCTCAAGAGTTTGTCTTTGCATTGGACCATGAGATAAAGGGTATGTCTGTTTTCTGATCCTGTGTTTGGCTGCCCCAGGAATCAGGGTCTGAGACTAAGCCATGTTGGTGTTCTTAGATCCAAATTAGGAATTGGAGGAGGAAGGTGGAGAGCGAGCAAATAAGTCTTGCATGATGAGTAGATGGGGGCTTGAATGAAAGGCACAGCTTCCTGACATGAGGAAGGACCCAGTGCTCATTTTTACGGAGATTTTAGAAAACACCTTGGCATGAACGAGACCATTGGGAGGTTCACCAGGCTTCTTATGGCTCTGGGAGCCTCTGGGTTTGTCTGGGCACCCTGAGAGGGCAGCAAATGGGCCTTTCAGGAGAACCAAGACACTGGGCGAGTATCTAGGGAGCACAAAGTCAGCCCAGGGGCACTGACAAGCCACTACGATTTCTTTGGGCACAACAAAGTATTTCCAGAACAGAGAAACTGCCTTTCCAGAGACTAGTTTTTCCCTCTAAATAGAAGGAAGAACCAATGGAGACACAGCTGTCTTTTGATTAAGTTCATTCACATTCCAGGTTTGTGAGCCAGACTGAAGACCTGGGCTGCAGGCAGAGAAAGGAGACCCCCCCATCCCCACCCTCACCAGCCAACAGAGCCAGGTCTTCCCAGGGCCAGAGCTAAGATCCAACCTGTTTTATCAAGGCCCAAGGATTTTCCAGTATTTTGCAGAGGCAGGCTGACTTACCCAGGAAGACATGGAAGGTGGGAAAGATCAAGGCTATTTCATACTCTAAAGATTTTCTGTGTTGTTACTGGCAGTGAGTTTATTAGGTTGATCAGTTGGTTTTTGGAGAGGAGAAGAAATATCCTGGTCATGCCATCTGAGGAAATCTCTTTGTTGGGAGACGTTTGAACTTTATCCAGGCTGTTTTGGGGTAATTAGCCAGAAGCTAGGAAAAAGAACCCAGAAACCCCCAGCTTCTCCTCTAGCAGATTCATACCACACAACTATGAGATAAAACTAGATCCACCTATCAGCCAAGCCCATTATGGCAATTAAGAGTTAATACCATTATAGAACACAAAGGACCACCACTGACTGATTTTAATGGGCTCTAATTACTACCTATTGCATCTAGCTGTTTCTTAACATCCTCCAGTAAGCCTTGCCAAGGTTCTGAAATTGAAAATTCCTCCTGGAACTGAGAACCAGGCTGCAAAATCTAGCCCAAAATGAAGCTGTCCTGCAGGTTGTCGCCATTTTCTTTTTGGACAGATAGGCAGAGAGACTGCCCAGGGGCACAATGCCAGACACGTCTAATGGACATGGGCTTGGCGTGGGTGCCTCTTCAGAATCTGGAGCTGTGTACACTCCTTTTCTCCCCCAGGCCTGTATGCCTACATCTGACCCAGGGAGAAAGGAAGGCAGAGGTTGTGAAAACCCCCCCCCCCCCCGCCCCACCACCAAATTCCTGTGAGGGAATCTTAAGGAGTTAAAGAGAAAGAAGGTCATCCTTTCTCTTGTGCTCTCAGCCTGAGACATTCACTAGCAGGATGAGCGTGGACAAGTCACCTTCCCTTTCTGGGCCTCAGTTCTCCAATTTGTAAATGAAGGACTTAGACTACAAGTTGGTGAAGATATGTTTAAGCTATAATGTTCTAAGATTATTTTTATATTATTCTAAGTGGTAAAACTGGGCCAAGTAAGAGTGGAACAGGGGAGTGGGAGTGGGAGGTAGGTGGGTGGGGGAGAAGTGGTCAGCAGAAGCACTAGGTCCTAAGCCTAGCTAATGCTTCCCCCTCCCTTGGAGCACCCTCTGCACGATAGAAAGCAAAGGCTGCTCAGACTCTACCTTCCTAGGGACTGTTCTGAGAATCAAATGAACCGTATGGCTAAGCAGAGCTTTCTGTCTCTCCTCAAGATAAAGCCCTGGTCCAAGGCCAGCTCACCTTGATTTCTAGAACACTTTGGTATCTTGAAGCTGCTGATACTGGCAGGGAAGACCCATAGGGTGGCATGTAGAAAAGGCTAGAAAAGCAACAATTATGAACAAAGCCACCCAGAGAAGGCACTTGCTAATATCTACATAGAAATGCAAATGTTCATAATTGGTTTGTCTTAATCACAGTTTCTTCGTTTGACCTTGGTCAAGTCACTTATCGTCTCTGGGACTTGTCTCTGCTATCTATCACTTAGGGTTAAGTGGAATATGAGAAGAGTGCTGCATGGGAATTCAGTTCTGCCACTATTGGCTGTGTGAGCCTTTCCCTCAGTATCTCCATCAGCGTAAGGAGAGGTTGGACTAGATGGGCCATAAGAGCTCCCCTAGCTCACACAAAGCAGATTCACCAGCTCCTGCAAACCTAACACAAAGTTAAACACAATAGAAAATCTTAATCATATCCTTGACATCTGAGGGTTATTTGGGAAAGCACTTGGGGCTGCCAGAAGAAAGAGAAATCCCTGTTGTGAGTGTAGTCTGGGTCCTTTGAAAGTGTTTTTAGGGCTTCCCCAGCAGACAAGTGAGTCAGAACTCAACCACATTCCTGATGGATTATTTGTGACCACTTGTTTTCTGGCAATGCCTTCACCTCTCCACAAGTTTCCACACTTGGTCACCTGCTGGTATGCCCAGCTGCAGGAGCAAAAAGCATGAGCCAGGTCAGAAAGGCAATATTGCTGCCACATAGACAAAGACAGACAGTCTGACCAGTAGTCTATATTCAAACCAGACTAGAGCCTAGTTTGCACATCCATGTGGCTACTTTCCATGACATGAGGCTACCTCTGTCACTATCAGAAGGATTAAAGCCTTGTGTAGCTATAACAAATTTTACTTCCCAAAGCCTGCTCACACCTATATTTCTTTTGATACTCACCTATGAAGCGAGACAGTAAAGATCAGAGTTATTCCCACTGAAAAATGAGGAAATAGGCCCAAAGAGGAGAAGTGAGGTCTAGCCTCTGCTGGCAACTTTTTTGTGTTCATTGATAGGATGGTGTTTGGGAACAAGTGCTTGGTGTCCAGTAGGACTGGAAGTGTGGTGATCGATCTGGGCCTGGACGTAGAAGAGACAGACACTGGGCCATAGAAGGTACAGATGCCCAAGACCCTCCAAGAGAGTGTAGGGTAGCAGTGAGATCAATTCTCACCAGAGATAGCATCTAGCTCCTGGCCTCAGTTTCCCCCTTACCGACAGAGGAGCCACTGTTAATAAAAACTTCTTTTTAAAGTTTTCTGAAAGTGGATCTGGAGTCCCTAGGTGGCACAAATGGTTAAGCAGTGAGCTACTAACTGAAAGGTTGGTGGTTCAACCCTGCCCCCTACCCCCCGAGATGGCTTAGAACAAAGGCTTGGTGATCTGCTTCCAGGAAAACTGTATGGAGGAAAGTTCTACTCTGACACACATGGGGCTGCCATGAGCCAGAGTCAACTTGATCGCAACTAGTTTTGTTTTTAAGAGGTCCCATATACACTGGTCTCATTAGATCCTCACTTCATCCTGGTGAGAGAGGGCAGAACAAGGATGATCATCTTCATTTGAAAGCAGGGGAAACTGAGGCTCAGATAATTTGATCGACTTTCCCATGTCACACAACAAGCTGGTGTCAGAGCTCGGGCCCAGGGCATAGCAGTTGCACATCCTACCATGCTATCCCAAAGGCTGGGGATAACCTAGCATCTGTGCAGGCTGTTTCTTCCCACAGTGAACAGGATGACCACACTCACCTGCAAGTAGATCTTCTTAAGTCCAGGAATGGAATCACTGATACGGCCTGACATAAGACGCCCGAGGCCTGAGGTAGCCCCAATACACACCAAGAGCACCCAGGTCTGCTTGATTTCTGAGAACTCCTCTTCCACATACTTCATCTGAAAAGCATAGCAGCAGGTCCCCAAGGGCAGGAGAAGAAAAAGAAGCTAACTGGTTAACTGTTGGCATATCCAGAACCCTCCACTCCTTACTTTCTGGGACCAGGGCAAGAGTCCTCTTCCCTGTAGCCCTAACTCCAGGACAATCTTTCTGGCTGCTTCCAACAGCTTAAAAGGCTGCATAGGCCTCCCTTGGTTACCTGGATTCTGGGCTTCTGAGCAGCAACTGAAAGGGGTGTGGTATCTCCAAGCCCCTTCCAAGCCCCAGGAGGACAGAACACAATCCTAACAGCTGAGAAAATCCAAGGGTTCCTCTACAATCTCCCTAATCCCCTACCCAGAACTGATAGTCTGAGGGCAACAGCAGACCAACAGGGGAGAAGGATCTACCAACTTCTAGGCAACTCTTCGAAAAGCATGTTCTAAGAAACACGAGGTCTGTAGAGCACAACAACTGGGCTACAGCCAGGAGTTCTGTGGCCACATAAGTTTAGTGGATGCTGGGTTAAACAAAGCTTAATGGGTTCCTTTACTGCAGGATTTTTTAGAACCTTTAATCGATTACTACACATTATGAGAGAGAGAGAGACAGAGAGATCTAGTGTATGTTGTTTTCTAAACAAAAATCAGCTTACCACAAAGACCTTAGAAAACCCTGTCCTTGGGTCATTTAGACCAGTCCCCTGCATCCAGACAATGCTTATCTCCTAAAAATTTATCTAGATTTATCAGTGGGGAAGCCACAGCCTATTGGCCTTCCCATGAGGAACTCCCTCCATTTCCTGTTAAGGTCCTCCCTCAGCCTATGCTTATCCCTCCCTGGGTCTCTCCAACCACTGTTTTGTCTCTTTTTCCAAAGGTTTCAGGTCTGCCCTTTCAGTATCCTCCACCCCTACCCTCTGGACTCCAGGCAGGTTGAGGGCAGATCCCCGGGGCCAGGTGGGGTGGGCCCACTCTCATATTCCTCACCAGGTGTACATAGGGAATGAAGTAGCCAAGTGCAGCAGCAGCAATCCCGAAGGCCCAGATGCGGTAGGTACGTTGGCGGAACACTCGCATGTTGAAGTACTTCCTGAGCTGAGCCAGAAAGCGCTGGCGAAGGGTGCGGACACCCCTCTTGCTTGGGGTGTCCTGGGAGCTGGGCAGGAGGGGCCGGTAGGTGAGTGAAAGCAGCATGAGAACAAACATAAAGGTACTCAGCACCTGGAAGGTTTGGGCCAGCTTGATCTTGTCCCCCAGCATGTTGATGAGGAAGGGGAAAGACATGGAGAAGATGCTACTCCCAGCAGACACCACACCATTGGCCAGGCCCAGGCGGCGTTGGAAATAGTGGCCCAGGATGACGAGGGATGGCTGAAAGGCGAAGGAACAGCCACAACCAAAGAGAATCCCATAGGTGAAGTAACGCAGGCTTAATGAGCTGTGGGGGAGACACCAAGAGCTGTTCTCAACAGCCTGACCAGCAATCCACTCGCCCTTCTCCCTTCAGATCTCCATTCCCCCACCCTTAACCCAGAGTCCCACCTGCCACTGATCCTCAGAGAAGACAAGGAACAGGGCCATCTGATCCCCATTTTGCAGATGGTGAAGCAGAGGCTTAGAGAGGTAAAGTATTTGCCCAAGGTCACATAACCAAGGATCAACAAAGCTTGGATTTGAATCCAGGTCTCTGTTACTCTGGTATGCATTCCATAGCACCCCATCAAAGAGGATTGTTCTAAAGAAAGCCAAAACCAGCCTATGCAAAGGCTAGATGAGGGGATACAGAGAGTAAGTCAGTGCCTTAAAGAGAACAGTTTCACCTCACTGTTCACCTAGACTTGGATATTCCATAGCCACAGCCACTATCCACCATGGATAGGCTGGTGCCCCCAGCTTTATCAAAAGTAATAATAAAAGGTTGCAAATATCCAAGATCTTGGAAGGTTGAGACCCTTCATAGGGCTCTTCAGTGTCTTTCTCCATGCTCAGGGCTATTAATATTTAAGAGAAATGGCTGATGGTCTCTTGAGAGACACCCCCCTGGGGATCCTGAGGTGAGGAGTCCCTTTAACTTGCAGATTCCCTGCCTCTGTTGCTGGACATGGTATGGATTAGCTCCCCAGAGTAGCCTGAGGCTGAGGGAGCCAGGCTGGCTGCTTGATGGGAAGTGAAGCCTCAAGGAAGTTGTGTGCCTGGCCAAGTAAGACAGCTGTTGGCTTAAAACTCTTACACCCCGCTATGGTCATAAACCTCTGTAACAGAAGGCAAAGTGTCAGAAGGGAAAAGGATATGTGAAGGTCAGCTTGGCCAGCCCTTTGCCCCCAGACAATACTGGTACAACCTAATGAAGAATTCTGTCTTTTTGATGCCTCCACATATTTTGCAATAGACCTTATCTGCCCACTTAATTATCTAATACTCTCCACGGTCAGGTAGTTCTTCCCCATGGATAGACCCAATCCTCGTACTAAAGGACTCAGCCTATGCTGCAGAGATGATGTGATGCTAGCATCCATGTTTCCAAGACATCTCTCACCACCGTTATTCTTCATCTGCTTGCATTAACTGTACATGAGCAAGGGCCTTGTTTTCAAAAGGATTGCCTCCACTTGGAAAACATAGATAAGTCGACTGCTCCTCCTCTGTCAAGTTCCTTGGAGCCTGCTCCCATTAGATTTTTTTTTTTTTATTGTACTTCAGGTGAAGTCTTACAGCACAAATAGTTTCTCATGAAACAGTAGTACACATATTGTTTTATGACATTGGTTAACAACCCCACAACATCTCAATCCTCTCCCTTCTCAACCTT